TTCCCCAGCCAGCCATGCTGGCTGGGGAATCCTGGGAGTTGAAGTCCACCCATCTTCAAGCTTCCAAGGTTGAGGAACACTGCTCTAGGAGGTTGCTTCAACTTTGGAAACATTTTCTTCCAATATATGTGCCATCATTTCCCAAGGAAGGATTAAAAATACAGAATCACAGAACTGGAAGAGACCTTAGAGGTGCCTTCTCTGTTGTGGTGCCTGGTCTATAGGAGACCCCTCCCCCTGATATCCAGAGGCCCACCCCCTGGTCTTGGTCTTCCAGAAGACCATGAAGACCTGGTTTCCCCCCCAAGACACTAGGGCCAAGATGCTAACGCAGCCTGGTCTCGTGTTGGGTTTTGTAGTGGCTTGGTTATTGTATTACCCTTATTTTGTCGTGGTCTCTTTTGGGTTTTGGGGTACGCGTTGCATAATGCTGCTTTTCGTTTGCATTTTGGCGGGTAGCCGCCCAGAGCCATTCCTTTAAAGATGGGTGGCCGAATACATTTTTCTACGCCCATCGATCAATGCATCAGAAACTTGCTCGCGTGGTTTTGCAGGGCCCCCGGAGCAAACTAAAACCAATTTCCTGCGTCCAAGGATTTCAGTAATTTCAGCGTAGGAGAAATAGGGGGAGATAACACTGGGCTGGGAGGAGCGGAGACAAAGCAGGGCATAAGGGTGCAAAAGACAGGGGTGTCCACAGGGTGTGGTCCAAAAGGTCAAGATGGTAGCCATGCCAGTGTGATGGAAGCTCTGCCTGCTTATTTGCAAGGCTCTACTGCACCACCATCTTGACTTTTTTGACCATCCCCTGCAGATTGCCCTGAGAAAACAGCAGCCCCACGCTGGATTGGGCAAGAGGCACGCTAGACCCAGCAACCTGGAGGCTAATCGGAAGTTCACGATCAGGGCAAGATGACGCTGCCCTGCGCGGTGCAACTTGCATCACAGAGGAGGTTTTCTCCTTTTTGCATTTACCCGACCCCTCTTTGAACTATGCAGAGTCCTCAGGGCTTGTACATCTCATAAATTAAAATATGGACTGTCTGCAGGATACACCATTGTGCCAAATATACTGAGTGCAGGTACAGGTTTGATTCAATGAGAGGCAGGCATTACAGGTAGTCCTTATTTAATAACTGTTCGTTTAGTGACCATTCAAAGTTACATTGGTGCTGAACAAAAGGATTTGCAACTGGTCCTCGCATTTACCACCGTCGCAGCACCCTCGTGGTCACATGATCGTGTTCCGGGCGCTTGGCAACCAGCTCGCACTTAGGACAGTTGCAGCGTCCCAGGATCATGTGATTACCATTTGTGACTTTCCCAGCTGGCTTCTGGCAAGCAAAATCAATGGGGAACCATGTGATTTGCTTAACGGCTGTGGTGATTTGCTCAATGACCACTGCAAAAAGGTCGTAAAATCGGGCACGACTCGCTTAACAATCGCCCCGCTTAACAACAAATTTTCCAGTCCCTATTGTGATCATTAAGCAAGGACTACCTGTATACTGAAGAAATAATTCTGAATTTTGGTCCCACCATGGCAGAAAAGTCAAGATGGCAGCCATGACCAGGTGATGCAAGTCTTGACCCTTTTTATGTTCGAGCGGGTCTTTAATTGTGCAGATGCCATCTTGAATTTTTTTATCCCCTTGGGGATGTTCCTGCACCCTCCTCTCTCAAAACAGTACCCCAAACATGTAGCTTTTGGGGGGTTCAGCAATGTAGCCATCCAGATGAACCTCCTCAGTGCAATCTTTCTGGGGCTTCTGCCTTGGGAAATCCAAGCCAAGTTCTTCTCCAAAATCACCAGAGGGCATCTGACTCAGCTGCAAATGCAAGCGCCAGCTGTGTGGCATCCCGGGAGCCCCCAGGTTGAGTTCCCCAATGCCCACCACTGCCGAGCTGAGTCCAGCCCAGCCTTCGCTCACCCAGGCTGCATCGTGGAACGGGAACTCCGGCAGAGCCACTGTGATATACTCCTTTTTGGTGCAGACGGCCACCACCAGCATCCCGTCCATGGTGAAGAACGCTTCGAAGCCCGTCCCGCTGGCCGTGAAGAAGCTGGTTGGGGTGGAAGGAAGCGCAGAAGGGCGATCAGAATGGAGAAGCCACCCTGAGCCCACTCCTGCCCGTTTGGGACTCGTACGCTGCAAGGCCACCCTGAGCAGGTAAAACCCTCTTTCCAAAACCGTTGAAAGTAGACAACAGCCTTTCCTCTGCACCCACCCCCAGAATGGAGCAACCGTGGCTGCCTTTTCAACCATGGCTAGTCATATCTGTCTAGAGCCTGGGCGTCATCTTGGCCAACCCAAAAGCCCTGCAGTTTTCAACCTGACTTCATCCAGATTGAACAAATTCATGGTCCAGAGGTTGGGTCACCCATCCCCCGTTTCCCAGCCTGGCTGGAGTACCAAGGCTGGTGCCTCCTGACAACCCCAACCTGGGGAAGGCCGCCCTGTGCCCAGACCTGTACAGCTGCTTCCGCTTCAGTCTGCCCGTCTCCTCCAGCGCGTCCTTGGTTTCTTCGACCAGGAGGCAAAGCCAGGCGTGGAAGGCGAAGCCACCCCCGGGCCACTTCTGGATGGTGGGCACCATGATCCCCGCCATGCTGGGCGTGAGGTCGAAGTACTGCAGCGCCCGTTCGGGCCCATCCTTCCGGGCCATGCCCGAAAGGGCCCGGATGACTTGGACGGTGTAAGGGTGGCACCCTTTGCCCTGGTCGGTCCGGAGGAGCTTCAGCAACTGCCGTAACTCGCCCGGGCGGATGGAGAGGCTGCCCAGCGCTTGCAGCAGGTGGATGAGGTTCTCGACGCACTTCCCGTCCAGCGCCTGCTCGGCGGCGCAGAGGGCGTCCAACAGGTGGCCCACCATGCCCGCCCTCACGCAGGTGGTGCGGCTCTGGAGAGAGGCGTCGCAGATTTTCTTAAGCCACTCCGAGAGGAAGATCTGGAGATCCTGGGACTTCAGCTCTGGGAGCCACATGATCAGGATCAAGAGGGGCTGCTCGTTGTGGATGAGGCGTGGAGGGGAGGCGCTGTGGTCGCCTTCAACGGCCTGTGAAAATAGCCACAGCTCCGAAGGTCAGATACGCCTACAACTTCCGTGTCTTCTCCTCGTTCTTCCCCCACAAAGCACGGGGATAATAAGGTGTGTCTCCCAACACACTCTGGTAGCTCAGTTGAGCTACACACAGCAGCGTGTGATCTTTCCCCCCTTCGACCGTGCCAACCATGCACCCCATCCTTGACCCCGTCCTTCTTGCCTTGTCCTGCACCCCATCCTTGACTCCCCCAGCAAAACCTTTTCCAATAGATGGTGAAATGTTATATATTTGCAGAGTTAAAATGGTGAATTCTTATGCTTGGGCAAGAAGGTCTATCGAAACCAGTGTTTCTCAATCCTGGTAGCTTGAAGATGGGTGGACTTCAACTCCCAGAATTCCCCAGCCAGCCATG